GATGTAAGAAAATTATATTTATTTTTCAAAATCATATGTTAACAAATTGACATAACAATAATGAAGTCGGTTCGTCTTGTTTAGAAATGTATACATCATGTATATAATATATATCATCGTATCCTTTATTTTGTAAATAAAAATACACAAAGATATCAAGACACAAATATCCAAAATTGGAAAATAAAAAAAAAAATACAAAAGTATTATATTTTGTTGTTATTATTGTTTGCGTGCGTTCGTACGTGTCCTTGCGTGCTGTTGTCTTTTTTCGAGGTCTATGTAAACAATTCAATCTTAGGAACGTTAACTGTTACTGGCGGTGATGCATCGAGAAAGTACTTCTTGTCCTTATAGTCTACAATGTTTTAACGCCATAATAGCGGCAATAATTGACTTTCTTAGGTCAGCAAAGTTTTCACTTCCTTGACCATACTCTGTTCTGTAGACTCAAATCAATTCACTTAAATTACTATTACCAGAAAGTTCCTAATTCAAAACAGGAAAAATATATTACATTTATTCAGCGCAGTTAATGTTAACATTTATTAATATTTATTCATGTATGTAGAAGACCAGTAAAGAGATTAGATAAGAAGAAAATAGATATTTCTTATTGTTCACAGTCAAAGTTAATACTGTAATATCCTTCTTTGGTTTTATAAAGCAACTATATGTTTATAATGTGCAGTTTGTCAGTTAAAAGAAGAAACAGAAGTAACTTGTTACTCAAAATGCCTTGTAATTTAAAGAGAAAAAAAAATAATTTAATTTTTTAAAGTACAATGGTTAAATATAAAAATTCTGATTTTTCCAACCAACAGCGTCTAGTAGTAACATTGGCGTCAGCATACTACACTATATTCTTGAAAAATATTAATTTTAAAATGATAATATCTAATTTATTATGATTTTAATGCATTATTAGATACCACAGCATTGGTTATATTTACAACAATTTTAAGAAAACAAATAATCACTGTTGCCCATTTTTTTTTTTATAATTCGTTGGGTTGAAGAAACAAATATTAAAAATAAGCTTTATAGGATATTATGAGTACATCATTTGTTTCATTGAACATTTTACATATGTTTTTCATATAATCTTATATTTAGAAAAACAATGAATTATTTTTTTCCTTCAATAAGTATTTGTTTGATATAAAGTAAATTATCCCTATTACTTTTTTTTTCGATGTTTCGAGTCAGTGCAAGGTACAGGAATCAAGTTGCCATTCCCCAAATTGCACTTCCTGAGGAAATATTCAGACGTCAAATTGGAAAATATTGCGAATGGTGACAAGTCACACACAATGAGTTACTGCAGTGGAATTTTTGAACATGTTAGCACTTGAGGTGCCACGAGCAATTAGTGAACAGTTCTTGAATTGTTAGAAGTACATTTGTTATAATTGATGTGTAATAACAAACAGATGTAACGTGTGACGTATCTGAATTCAGGGTATAGCAATTTCTGAACATTTCTGACTGTTACAGTTGTAATGTGTCGGGTTAAAGAATGAATATTTTATAAAGGTGGACGTCTTGTGGTTATTACGCTAACAAACGTCTTATGTTGTTATATCAGGCGAGGAAACCGCTCTTCGTGCGGTATCTTATATTATACAGTAAATTATAAACATTTCTCTTCTGAGCCGCTCATATTTTACTGCTAAATTAACATATGAGCCGCGTCATGACAAAACCAACATAGTAGGTTTGCGACCAGCATGGATCCAGACCAGCCTGCGCATCCTCGCAGTCTGATCAGGATCCATGCTGTTCGCTATCAGTTTCTCTACTTGTAATAGAGTTGGTAAGCGATCAGCATGGATCCTGATCAGACTGCGCGGATGCGCAGGCTGGTCTGGATCCATGCTGGTCGCAAACCCATTATGTTGGTTTTGTCGTGACGCGGCTCAAATAGTTTTACATTGTATTATGGCTGTATCGGGAAAAAGACCTAAGCAAAAGATACGTAAAATTTTAAAACACATTTTATTAAAATGAATAACCACTTACAGAATAATGTCATAAGGTTTTGGAATATCCGTTACATTTTTAGAACAAGAAATCCTACGTGATCCTGAGATAGCACGTGCTAGTTCAATACTTTATTGTTGTATTGGTCCACAGGAGGACATTGAATTCTCTTGGTACCACTATAGGATAAGGAAATCCTTTTCACATAAAAAATGTAACTTCCGTTGATTTTTCGGGTCTAAAAAAACAACGTATCCTCTTTCAAAACAAAACTGAATATAACGATCAAATAACAATGCTTTTCTTATTTATACGAATAACGTTTGTTTTGCTGTCATGACATTAATTTTATTTGATGGTCTCATTTTTCATAACGTCTAACTACAAAATGCATATAAACATATAATATTTCAATTTCACCAAAACAGTTGAGTGCATAAATATATTATATAGCGGTGCAAAATATCACTGTTTCAGATTTTAGCTGACAAAACTCCATCTTTTAATATAAAATTTCATTATAAGAATTTATTCGACTTATCAAATTTCACATCAGATATAGTTTGAATATGTAAGATGGAGATTGCACATGAACTAATTCCATACGAAATTGTAAGATTTAAGTTCTAAGCCACTTGTAGACGTTTATTTCTAACATAAATTGTATCTTTTAACGTTGATTATTATAAGTTCATCATTCACTGACTTGCCAGCAGTATCTTATCACCTATCACAAACAACAAGACCAAATACAGAATCTTAAATTTGCACATTTGAATGTGAAGGAAGCTTTATATTTAGTCAACAACCCCTTTCAATCCCATCCGCGCACACTAACGCGCGCACGCGTTGGCATACAGACGTACGGACGCACCACACTCAAGACAAAAGAGAAAAAAACTTGCTCTTAATGATAGTTCATATGCGTTATTTATAACGTAGGAATTGTTCAAAGATATACTTAGGGTTAGAAATCTTTTATTTTCAACTTTAAATAAACCAAACTAATACACGGTTAAAATGTTCAGTTTCTCAAATATCAAACAGAAAATCTTGGAGTCTTCACAAAAACAAGATATCATTTCAAATATTTATATATTTTTCTGGTCTAATTTCTAATGGTATTGGGTTCTTCTTTTATGCGTATATGTCTTTTATGCTTATTACATTTCATTTCAGTTTTAATGAAATTTTATGATTTTAATCACTTTTGAGTATTAATCAACCACCACATAATAAAAATAATACACGGTTGAAATATCCAGTGTCTCTGATATCAAACAGATATATTGAAATCTTCACAATAAATGGTATCTAGATTATTATTCTTTGTTATAATTGTATTGAGTATTTTCATTATGTGTATATTTTATTTTTATGCTTTCCAGCTTTCAATTTTAAATGATTTTCAGTCACTTTTAGTATTTATCAATAACCACATTGAATAATATATTAAGTGAAATGAGGAACAATAAATCTCCTTCAAGACGGTCAGATTAAAACAATAATTGCATGCGCTGTTATAATTGGCCTGGTCTTAGACGACAGTGCTTGATGCAAGATACCGTCCACACACCCCTAGCACCGTCCACACACCCCTAGCACCGTCCATTTCAATATTGTGCTGAAGTGCTACCCTGTTGGTTGGTTGTTGTTGTTTTTATTGTTGTTGTTATTATTATTATTATTATTATTATTATTATTATTATTATTATTATTATCATTATTATTTTATTATTATTATTATTATTATTATTATTATTACTATTATTATTATTATTATAAATGTTATCGTTATCGTTATCGTTAACATTATCATTATTATTATTATTATTATTATTATTGTTATTATTATTATTATTATTATAGATATTATTATTATTATTATTATTATTATTATTATTATTATTATTATCATCATCATCATACTGGTGTAATTAAATCATATACTAGTACTCTGAAAGAATTATAACATTTAAGTAAGCTATAATTATGTATATTTTTATCTAAATTTAAATGTCTGCTATGTATCAGTATTATATAAAAGAATGTCATGTAATACTGTCAATATGACTAACTAAACATTGATGACAGAATTCTTACAAACGACTTCACACGTTTTAAATTACATTACAATAAATGACGGTACTTATCAGCCAAGCATATTAATAGGTTTCAATTATTTGGATTATCGTGGTATTTTATAGATCTTATCCACTACAAAATTGTGATGTTATCTCAAAAAATTTAGTCGGTTCGTTGAACACCTGACATGGGTCTTGCACATACCACGGTTACATTTAGTTTTTAAAAAATGGGGAAAAAGAAGAAAAAAATATCTCTTTAATACGGAAAGTGTCTGAACATCTATATATTCATTGATGTTTCTAAAATATGTGAAGAAATAGTTATCACTTATCAATTATCAAGTGCGAGTAATGTCTTTTTCGGAGTGATAAATTAATCGTATATGTGTAATAACTTATAGTTTAATGAAGAATTTTATCAGTTTATATCAAATTTTATATCTAGGATAACATCTTTAAAAATCGTACCCCATCTAAATGTGAATACATTTTTTCTCTCTTTCAAGTTTTACAATTATTATGAGAATACATTAGAGAAATCAGTTTATAAATTTAATTTTAGGTGTATATTTATGTGAAGGTAATATTCATCACATGCTATTTTAATTATTTACAAATACATTATTCTGTTATTTATCATAAAGCAATGATGTAAGGTAAATGCACATCTATAACATATACATGTATATGATACCGCACATTTTATATAGTACAGTAAAGCATTAAATGATTGTTCGGATCCATGTAAATAATCAGGTGTCCGCTCATGCGCGGAGGAGCACCTGAGGTCTTCCTGTAGTAGTAAAGCTAGAAACTCTATGTTTGTTCGGCGTAAAACTCAACAAAAATAAATAAAAAAAACTAATGTATATTCTTCGACAATATGAATAAAATATTTCTATTTGATTTTAAGATTTGTATCTAACTTACCTTCACCTGTCTGCTGTAACACTTGTTGCACATTAGCCTCCGTATATTTTGTAGCTGCTCCGAAAATATCGTCATACTTGGCGGACAATCTCTGTTTGTAGGTGGTCACAAAGAGTATGTAATTTTTCCCATCCAAAACATCTGCGTAACACATTTTTCTGTCACCAAAATTTGAAATATTGTATATACTCGGTGCATTTTTATTCACAGGTATATTTCTCAATAACTTTTTCCCCTTATATACTTCAAACAATTTCACTGTGGCGGTATAAGTTCGGGCTTCCGTCCTGTATTGCTTTTCTTTGTAAGTTTTAAGAACCTGTGCCGAAAGTACAATATCTGCACGTGCAGTACGGTCCCCGATCGACATGGGCATCCATCCATTCAGTAAATATATGCACGAAAATACAATAGGAAGAAGCTGTATTATGATGAACGTCCGTAAAACGAGAGACGTCAAATTAACGTCATGACGTCGCATTGTTCATTCGATTTCGAGAATGTGGCAAACTAATCCTTTTTGAAGAAACGTCATTTGTATCTGTTTAAGTGTTGTTGTTTTTGTTTTTGTTGTTGTTGTTTTTTGTATGTCACAAGAGACGAAACTCAGTTACTAAATGCTGCTTCACACACATATATTCACGCTAATGTATCATGGAAATATCATCTTTGGAAATCATATAGAATACAAAATATCTATTTTATAGGTTATGTGATTTTTTTTTTATTTGATGCCAGTCCAAAGTCTCCTATAAAATTTCTGTGTGAAAGATATAACTGAGAGCTATTATTTACCAAAAAGAATTTAGACTTTGAATGTAAGATCTAATAAATCAAAATATTCTCTTCAACGGGCCATCTTTTATTCTACAGTGTCCATGATTTACTGCCGATGACTGATCTATGGATAAAATAAAATATATATTAAAACGTAATATTACACTCTTTACTGAAACACCACCGGTATAAAATACATTTTCATTTAAAATTTGTGCGGTTTATTGTCCCTTTCAAGAAATTTATGGTCATGAAAGTGTTTTGTTCGTTTTTTACAAATGCTAAAGAAATGTGACTTATACGTGTACCCTCGTTAGTAAATTACACAGCATAAAAGAAAGTTTATCTTTCCTACAAATCATTGTGCAAAAATAAAAAATTGGTAACCGAGCTGAAGATTTAATGTTTTAAAATTTACAACAATATCTTCCCATCTGATAATTTATATATAAAAAAAGAAACACTCATTTTGTACACTCTTACATTTCATAGGGATATAAAGAACAGGCGCCTGTCTACAGTTTTCGTAAGAAGAAAATACAAAAAAAAATATAACTCACATAACTTATGATTTATGGTATGTGTGATTTCTTTCATACATTTTTGAATATATATACATATTAATACTCCTCTATGAGAATCAAATATGATATATTATAAAACACTCTTTAAATATTTTATTATGAGATAAACAATGATTAATCCAAACGAAAATATACCACTAATATATTAAGTCCACCGTAAACCTTAGCTGAATTTATAACGAAATCTTTAACGATTTTAACGATTACAAATTAATTAACGTATAATTTCGTTTTCAATAACACGTACTTATATACACAAATTTAAATAATCACCGTTAATTAATAACTCATTGAATTTATATCCATGATTTTTGCAACAGCGCGATTTTATCAGTACAAACAAGCGTGCCACCTCTTCAAAAATTTGACTGTCAATTTTGTTATACAAATCTGTCTGACAATCGGCACTTGAGAGGTTTAAGATTTAAGATTAGATGATGATATAAAACCTCTATCAAAGTGTATTAACTATTACCCTGATTCGTTCAACCAAACTAAACTACAGTTCGGTTTCGGGTATAACCTATTGCGTGTGCCGTTAACATCACTGGGGTACACATCAGCTACTGTTCCGTTCAAAACGGGTGTTAACCAATCCATGAAAAGAATGGATACATACATGTACAATCCTGCGTCTTTTGATATGAGAAAATCGAATGAGAAAAGTATGTTAATATAGAAATATATGTCAAACATATGAAAAACAGCTTTATACGTGCTTATTTCAAGAGATAAAAATGTAAATAATATCTTCCCTAATCTATGATACTTTGCTTGTCAAATACCATACAGGAAGAGATCTCCTTTAAAGAAATCATCTTATGGTATCAGAAAGTAGGCATATTTGAATCAACTCTCAAATACTTTTAATCATTGGTGAAATACATTTACTTAAATATTAGTTAAATTTTAGTTTTCAGCACTGATTCACTCACCCCCATAATTTGTTACTATAATTCATACATTGTGTGCTAAACTACGAGAGTTTTATAAAAAAAAATACATTAGGGAATCAAATGTAAGCTCAACTGGCCTTTTTCATAGGACCTACATATGATTAGATATTTAAGTGATCCTTGAAGAAAATTAAAAAATATACATATATATTACAGAATATGATTGATAGGTCTATTAAACGTGTAATTCATTTCTTCATCATATAGAGCTTTCTCGTCAATAAATATGTATCCACTATTATATCAGATAAATTTAATCATTTAGTTTAAACATTTTTTTCTCGGCAGCCCTTATCAGATTTCAACCACTATCGAGTCTGCTTCATGGAAACCAACCAACATTTGTATCGTATTCATAAAGAAACATGGTCGTGACCCATGTAGGGCTCGGACCCATGATCCCTGCGTTGAGAGGTTGATATCTAGACCACTAAGTAGTAACTCTCCTTGTACAGTGCTTAAATGTGATTGTAGGTGTTCAGCCTGTAATTTTTATTATAAGATAAACATTTTTGTGTCACGTTAACTGTTTATCCCAACAGTTATTTTCGATTATAACATAACATTTCATCACGCGTATACAATTAACTATTTTATCCTCATATATCTTTTCTTTTATTATAAGTAAACATTTTGTGACACGTTCACTGTTTTGTTCTCATCATATCTCTTCTACTTTTATAATATATTAGTAAACATTTTGTGACACGTTCACTGTTTTATTCCCATCATATCTCTTCTATTATAATATATTAGTAGATATTTTGTGACATTTTGTGACACGTTCACTGTTTTATTCCCATCATATTCTCTTCTACTATAATATATAAGTAAACATTTTGTGACACGTTCACTGTTTTATTCCCATCATATATCTTCTACTATAATATATTAGTAAACATTTTGTGACACGTTCACTGTTTTATTCCCATCATATAACCTCTACTATAATATATTACTAAACATTTTGTGACACGTTCACTGTTTTGTTCCAATCACATCTCTTTAACTATAATATATATGTAAATAATTTGTGACACGTTCACTGTTTTGTTCCAATCATATCTCTTCTACTATAATATATATGTAAACATTTTGTGACACGTTAACTGTTTTGTTCCAATCTAAAATAAATATTTTAACATTTTGTGACACGTTCACTGTTTTATTCCCATCATGTCACTTCTATTATAATATATTAGAAACATTTTGTGACACGTTCACTGTTTTATTCCCATCATATCACTTCTATTATAATATATTAGTAAACATTTTGTGATACGTTCACTGTTTTATTCCCATCATATCATTTCTACCATAATATATAAGTAAACATTTTGTGACACGTTCACTGTTTTGTTCCCATCATATCACATCTATTATAATATATTAGTAAACATTTTGTGACACGTTCACTGTTTTGTTCTCATCATATCTCTTCTTTTGTTAGAAAAACGTTTTATCACACATTCTCTGTTTCATATCCATTGTTACACGTATAATATTTTTTTCTCGAACGGAAAAAAAGATACTCGGAAAACTACGTGAAGAAAGTGTTGTGTTTTTTTTTCCTTTAAATAAACAGAAATCAACTTGAAGGATGTATTAAAGTATTTCATACGTTAAAATACAGAAAAACACACAACATTTTCTGTCATCTTCGTCAGTGTTCGTACCTATCACTAATCGCAACATTTCGGCTCGTTCTCTGAAAGATTTGTACAACGTGTTGATTTTCATCAGATTGTGAGAACTATTTTAAACTATTTTGAGGTATGAAATTCCTTTAAATAAATTCATAATTACACAAAAAAAAATTCCCTCAGCAGATTACCTTCAATGATTATATAAACGATACAGTATTATTGTAAAACATATCTGAATTATTGAGATTTCAATTTTAAAAAGCATGGAACTCATTACAAATCACCTGAAGAACACATTTTCCCAAAACGTGAGCACTGATTATCAAAATTCTGTTGTTGTTGTTTTTTTTTTAGGTAGGGGTGCTCTAAACGGAGTTTCTATGTTCTGTAATCCATTATTTTTTTCAATACCAAAAGTCCCGAATCTTTAAAGGCCCATTATGCCCTATAGGGATACTTCGTTTTATATGTCTTAAAATCTTTTTATTTTTGGTGTCCTGTAATAGTTTCCGAAAAGTTACCCAATGAGCATAACCTAAACCATCGCTGGCTTCTGTTGCCAGTACTGGTATAGGGATTTAGTATTTTGAATTGATGTCAAATACTACTGTGTTTACATTTTGCTACTTTAATGACAAATTTCACATTCAGCGCCACTTTCTTCAGGTGATTTGCATAAAATAAATTCAAAGTTACAATGTCCGTTCAAAAGACCTATCACAGCAGAAAATTGCAGCCTTGCTTTGATTTAAAATATTCTTGACACCTTCACTTACACCACCCTCTATTCCATCACCCCATGCATCGTTGTTAGTAATGTTCTATTTTCAGGGTAAGCAGTTTTTTTTTTTTTGGGGGGGGGGGGGTTGATCCAACAGAAAAAATAAAATTTTAAAAATGGTGAAGTATTGTACGGGGCGACATTTACAACCGCCACATTATTGCATCACTAATAACATATCATCATTATATTATATAATCCTAAAAATATCTTATATAACCCTTTTAGAAATATACATTGAAAGAAACAATCATTGATGTATGCGATGCGACATATTTGTTCATTTCATATTTACATATGTGTTATCAAAATAAGTTTTATTATGCGTATACATTAATAGCTAATTAGCCATATACTAGTGACATAAATGGTATAATATAGTTTTTATATATAAGCAACAATTTGTTATGATTCATTGACAGACAAGAATGTTGAAATCTTAGTCATGATTTTATCGTTCATTGATAAAAGGAGTGTGTATATTTTAAAACAGTTTACTAAATAAAATGGGAAAATTTAGGTGCAAATATCAAATTATCAAAGAGGCGTAAATTTATATAAAATTATTCAGATTCATCTGTTGTACTGGATTCTTTAGAGAATATTGTATTTACAATAAATGATAAACTATTACAAATAGATACAGTGTGGATATTTCAGATACACTATATACATGTATATATACTATAAGTTGGTTAAGTTATCGCCCTTTCGCATTGCTACGCCTTTTGTAACTCTTGTATACGTCAACGGGTAGTCAAAATAATTAGCCGTGAAGAACGTTATTTAACATGCTATATTTATCATTGTAAAATGTGAATATCAGATTAATGATGGAAAAACATGAAATAGGTTTCGTTATAGACTAGTCACGGGTCGAAATTTTGTCATGGAATTGAGTGCGATTCATGAGTCGAAGTCCCGATGTGTCGAAGTTTTTACGCAAGTCCCTTCAACTTCGACTTACCGAAGTTCTACTGTACTATGTTCTGCTTTTGATATTTAAATTTTGGGCCTTGACATTTTCTTGTAAAATGAAAATAATAATAATGATAATTAAAATATCATTATATACTGTAAGGATTTTGTCTGATAAGATGTTGAATGGTTGTGTGACAGCTAAAGACTACCACAATACATGGTTTGGAGTCCATATACGTAGGTTTTCAGCACCTGAAACACTGTAGGGGATACGCATGCATATACAGGTCACTAGCAGAATGTATTGTGTTGTTTTTAGGTTTATTTAATTAACCGTATGGGTCAGAATATCTGAGCTACTTGAAAGTATTGTGCTGAACACTCATCACATTCAGCGGCGAGTTTTCAAGCTATCTATAGATCTCTATCATCTCATTGTTCGTTGGTGGCAGCAGGAGACAACGACAACATCATCCAAGGCAATCCTTTCCAAACAACACTTTGCAGGACCAAATCCTCCCGAGTTAGCCACGCCAGGTCAACTAATCATTGCCTGAACTTACGATGACTTGACCTTGACCTGTCGTGTGCCTTCTCCACGACGTGCTGTCTTTAGGAGGGATATGGAGATTTGCAGAATTTAAAAATGCGTCCTGTTTATAGCACGAGACATGATATTTTTGTTCCAGATAAACAACGTTATTTATCTTTTACTTCTGTATTTTTTTATAAAAATATTTTTAATGTGATATTAATTGTTCTACCTTATATTAATTTTTCTACCTTATATTAATTTTCTACTTTTTTCCGTTCGACGGAATATCTAAGTGACACTGTTTGAGAACAATAGAAAATAAGTGTCATTGTTGAAATACAAAGAAAAATTCATGCAATTTAAAAGAACAATAACGTTTCTAAAAACTCGAAGACTGTACCTTTAAAAGCTCAAAGAATGCACTTTAGTAAATAACATCAAAAATGTACCAAAATAATGTTACGGATCCTTTTTAGTTTTTTGGAAATTTCGATATAAAAAGTTCGGTGCAGTAAATGGAGTGGCAGGTATTGAAATTAGAACGCAGCGCCTCAAGCAGAGAGGAGAGTCAGTTTAATTATACACTTTTCGTTTGATGAAGACCGCTATCATGTAAAATTAAACCGATTTTTGAACTCTTGCTGTATCCAATTAAAGATTTATAAAACCTCGTGGTAGATTAAATGACAGTTGTTTGTAACAAATGATTGCTACTTGTCTTCAACGATTAAGATGTGATTTCAGAAACTGTCGAAAGTTGGCATGTTTGTGACGTATCACAGACGTTTTATAGTGTTTTGATAGTGATTTTATTGCCTTCACTATCTAAACATTGTGGTG